AAATACTACACCTAATAACATTAACATACATATTCTAAGTCAATGTCAAAATTTTCTAACCTATTTTTCAATCCTAGAACTAAAAAATGTTATTTAATTCAATATTATTAATTATTGCATAATCAACAAATTATTAAATACAAAATTTAACAACATTAATATAAAAATTATCTAACCTACATTTCAACCTATAAATAAATAATGCATATAAAACAATTTATTTAATACATTAATTAAACAATATAGCACAATTAATATTTAATTAATATAACTAATAATTGCATAATTAAAAAAAATTAATTGATAAATTTAACAACATTAATATAAACAATTTATAACCTAAATTTAAACCCTATAAATAATTTCAAACAATTCATATTATTAAATAAAGCTTTAATATATAATACTAAACCATAACATTAACATGCATATCCTAAGCCATTGTCATAATTGTGTCTTCAAACCTAATGTTTCATCTTATATATAATAATTAACAACATTTAAATAACACTAAAAAACTGTAAAAAAAAAAATTTAACTAAATCATAAAATACTAACCTCAAATGTAGAGAGAGAAAGAAAAATTAGAAAGGGGGAGAGTGAGAGAAAGAAAAATGTGAGAGAGTGAGAGGGAGAGAGATTCGGGTGAGGAAAATAGGGGGAGAGGGGGTTTATATAGGGAGGTGAAAAATAGTCGTTGCACCAAGTTCGCTAGCCGTTACGCGTAGTTCGCTGAAGTGGGCAGCGACCTTCTTTGCATGCAAGCCACGTGGCTTGGCACGTGGGAACGTGCAGGGCATTAATTGCTGCAGACAATGTTGTTAAGATCGAGATCTTACTTAAGATCGGGAAGGGATAAAAATATCGTAAATCGCAATATCGATACCGATCGTAAGATCGTAACTGTGTATGTAAAATATTAAAATTATATAAATAATCAAATTACTCAACAAAAATAATGGGGATATTGCAGTTGACCATTATCATCGCTACCTGGTATAGTATGAACTTTGTTTTAACTTAACATTACCCTTTAAAGTATATAATATATATAATTTAATTTTTATATTCGCCACTTTGGTCCACATATCAAATCTGAGTTATTTTAAAATGTTTAAATAATATTGTATGGTCCATGCGCTCCACAGCTTCCACGCACATATTCAAAGGCGTTGGTAAAGAACTAAAGATTTTTATTACGCAAGTGGCGGAACCCCATTACCTCGGGAGGAAGGTTCGTTCAGAGCGACTCGTACAAGCTTGAGTGTACCAACCTTTACTTTGGGTCCAACGAACTCGAGTGAACCCCATTTCCTTCGATTCCACCTCTTCAGTGTAGACCCATGAGCCAAGCCCATTCTTCCTTCCGCGCTTGAAGCACCAAGTCATTTTCTTAATAGCACAGCGCCGAGTCCTTTTCTTCATGGTATCTGAAGTGCAAAGCTTATAAGGTGATGGGGCAAAAGAGCCAACGTTCAAGTGCTTCAAGGCAATGATGCCAGTAACAGCGAAACACAAGTAAAAAGCTTCCAGAAAATGCAAAGAATAATGGAACACAAAGACGAAAGTGAGATGGATCTGGACATTTGAAGCTATCTGAGTTGAATCGCAAAAATGGTGGGATCGTACGATCCCACCGATTCCACGTTCTTGCACAACGATCTCACACAACTGAAGAAGAAAACGATTCTACTTACGATTTGAATCGTAGCAATTGGAAAAAACGTAGGAACGAACGATTCTGCGATTTCACACGCGATCTTAACAACCATGGCTGCAGAGTCTGCTACTGACACAAGCGAACTACGTGTCCACCAGGAACGTGACACATCAGCACATCGAGTTCACTACTTCTACAAGAGAACTTGCCCACGTGGCAGATTGATAAATAGCACTGTTTGCGTGGCATATAGAGAAATAAGATGGGGAACACTGGAACTTTGGTCACTGTTTACAGTTCTAAGTGGTGCTACATCGCCGATTTGTTGGGGCTGGTGGTGCTCTGTAGTTTTAGTTGGTTCTGCATTGTTTTTCGGGCTCTTTTTTTTTATAGCTCAAGGACTTAAATATCTTTATCTTTGACTCATCCTATACTCCTGATTAGTCTAAATTATAATTTTTAATTTAAGTTGTGATTTTGTTATGTATTTTTAATTGGAGTTTAATTAAATATTGTGATTTCAAGGTTATTTTATTGAAATAGGATATATTAACCATTTTTTTCTTACAACCATTTACAATTATTTCATTGTGGTTGGATCAAAATTAAAATAATAATTCTCATCGATTTTGTAATAATTGATTTAATTTTAATTTAATTATTACAAATTTAATAGTAAAAGGTGATTAGAAAAAAGAACAATAAATATTTCCTCTCCTTGTTTTATTTACTAATATATTATTATTATTTAGTATATATTTATGTTCCATTAAAAAATGCTGGAACTTTTATAGATTTTTTTTTCTAAACAACAAACCATGGCATTATTATTTTAAGCAAACTGAATGACAAGTTCGATGCAGCAGCAAGTTCTTATTGTATATAACCAGCATTTGAGCACAGGTTAGAACAAGAAGCTTACTTATCCTAACTAAGCGTTATTATTATTATTATTATTGTTATTATTCTAAGCTTGAAATCTCAGGGAAAAGAAAAAAAAATGGCGATTTCTAGAATTGCCATTGGAAATCCTTCCGAGTTCGGCCAAGTTAATACGCTCAAGGCTGCTCTAGCTGAGTTCATCTTAATGCTCATCTTTGTCTTTGCAGGGGAAGGCTCTAGCATGGCATATAGTAAGGCTTAATTTGTTCAACTCTTTATAGAGTAACTTTGCGTTTGATTTCCATTCACAATTTACTGTTGGGAATGGTACGGGATCACATTCTGAAAACAAAGCAAAGTGAGTAATTGGATCTTCAATTCCAGTTACCTCATAATCTTCCATCCAAGCAGGCCTTCTTCTAACACGACGAAGAGATTGAGTCCCTTCTTCGTTAACTCCAACTACTGTTGGTGAGGATTGATTAGCTGAAGAAGTTGCAAAGGACGAATTTTCAGGCATACTAGATGCTGAAATTTGTTCTTGTTCAGAATCAATATCACAAAGAACTTGGGTAGGCTGTTGCATATTCCAATCCCAAGTGTTTTCTTCATCAAAAACAACATCCCTGCTAACCACAATTTTTTTTGTCAGTGGATTAAATAATTTATATGCTTTAGATGTATCACTTACACCAAGAAAGACACATTTTTCAGCCTTGTCATCAAGTTTTTTTCTTTTCTGATCCGGGATATGAGCATATGCAATGCATCCAAAAATTCTAAAGTGATCCACATTTTGTTTTCTCCCACTTCAAGCCTCTTCTGGCGTCATATTTCGAACTGCAAAGGTTGGACTTCTATTCAAGACATGAATGCACCAGTTTACTGCTTCTGGCCAAAACGTCTTTGGAACTCTTCCTCTTGCCAACAAGCTTCTAACTATGTTGAGGATGGTTCTATTCTTCCTCTCTGATACACCATTTTGTTGTGGTGTATACGCAGTTGTAAGCTCTTTTCAGATGCCATGTTCTTCACAAAAAGCTTCAAATTCTTTTGAGCAATATTCACCACCACGATCTGTGCGAAGTGTCTGAATCATCCTTCTTGTCTCATTCTCCACACAAGCTTTAAAATTTTTAAATGTAGAGAAAGCTTCTGACTTTTCCTGTAAAAAATAAACCCACGTTTTTCTAGAAAAATCATCAATGAAGGTAATTAAATATTTTTTACCTCTATTAGAAATTGGATTTATTGGACCACATATGTCTGAATGCACCAATTGCAAAGTGACAGGTTGATGGCGGGGCGGGGCGCCCACTTTGCCACCTCTAATTATCCTGTCAAAAGAAAAAATTGTGATACAAATAATTTTCAGTGTCCCCAGTACCACATATAAAAAGTTATTATCTTAATTCTTTAACAAAACACTTGGTGTACGGAACCAAAAATACAAGTTCAGAAGTTCAAAAAATATCAATAACCAACATTACTACTCCTCATGCACTTTTCTAGTTATCGTGTTTATAAAGTTTTATATGTCGGTGCTTCAACAAATGCAGGTAAAGTTTGGACCAGAGGAATGGATAAACTAGAAATACAACTTGATTGAGAGAAATGGAGGATAAATTAAAAGACAACATTTGTAACAATATGTTACAAACAGACAAAAATGAGTTGAAAAGGAACAAAAAGGTACTTATGTTCACTGAAAACCAGTTTCCATGTGCTATACGAAGTTCCCAGCACAGAATATTAAGAATTTGAGACAGCTATTTCTAAGCTTTTTTTCCCCCTCCCGTTTGGATGTGTCTTCTTTTAGTTAAAAGTTACTACAAAGTCTATTTGAATGTCTGTTTTAAAAAAAAAAAGCTACAAAAAAAATCTAAAATCTGCTTTTTTTGGAACTACAAGATTTAGCTTATGAAAATAACAAAAGTCAAAAGTTAAATTTTTTTCAAAATTCAAATATCGTTTTTAAAATCTAATTAGGTCTACCTTTTGTAAAAAACACTTTTAAAATAAGTAAGGCATAAAAAGTACTTTTTTTAGAAGCCTAGCCGGAAAAGGAATCTGCATAGAGATTTTTCTTCTTTATAATTGGAAGCGCCAGGTACATAACCCACACCGCATTATATTGACCGATCAGTTGCACTAGTTTATAACAACAGTGATGACATTTGGTTAAGAAAAGAACGGGTGAATAGTCAATCATAACAGTAATGTCAATTTCAAACTCATTCAGAAACAAAATTCAGAGATACGACGACATATAGATCTGTGAACTCAGTTTCACCAGGACCCATTCCCAAATGATACAGCACAATAAACGCAGTGCACCTAATTAAAAGATAAAGCATCAAGCATATACTTTAAAAGACCATTTCATCAATATAAAAGAACTTATTAACCTCATATTCCTAAGACTTCAGAGAATGTGGAATAAAAGATAGAAAAATACCTAAGATAGGTGATCCAAGAAGGACAATGTCCCAAGCAACTGAAAGCATAATGTGAATATCTAATAACCTGCATCTCCAAAGATTGCAGCCAAATCATATTTTATACATGCAAAATGGTAATGTTATATTTGTTTATGAGAAAAATGTGTGGCATTTTAAAGGATACAAGTTGTGTCATCTTAAGTGAGAGAAAGTGATAGATAAAGGAGGAGAGAGTGGACAAAAAACATAAAGGTGTGAGTCTCATCTATTTGTGAGAGTGAAATGATATAAGTTGTGTCATTTAAAAGGATAAGCACTTTTCTCATTGTTTATACTGCAACTTTCATCGATTGCAAACATAACATACCATAAGTGGGCAAAAAAATTAAAATATTACACTTTTAATAATTAATTACGAATAGGTTGCAGTTTGGAAACTAATTTTGGATCTATTGCAGTCATTCACGTCCAAAATGGGCGGGACAATTCACGCCCATGATAGGCGTGAATTCCACGTCATTCACGCCCAAAATAGGCGTGATTAGTCACGCCCCATGCAGGCGTGAATCACTGGACATTCCAGCCCATTCTAGGCGTGACTCAACCCCTTTTCCAGCTCACTTTGGGCGTGAATGGCACCTGTTTTTCCTATATAAACACCTCTCATCTCTACATTCATCACAACTCTTCTTCATCTTAACTTCTTAGTCTTCGATACAGTCTCACTTTCTTATGCATACTTTGTTTTGTGTTTTTCTTTATTAATATAGTTAAGAATGAGTTCACATTCTGATTTTGTTCGTGTTGTTTTATATTATAATGGTAGGAAAATGGAAGGTCGACGTGGTGTCATTTTTGAAGGCGAGAAAAGGCCAACACTTATCATGCGAAACTCAACAATTAGCGAAGTACATCAAAAAATTCATCAAAAGTTAGCGCTTGAAGGTAAACAATCTATCAATATGGTCACTGCAAGAATATGGTGTGAATCACAATACATTAGTATGCAAGTTGTTGATGATGAAGACGTAGAAATGGTAATCGGAGAGTATTTCACACTACAAAAAAACAGGCATTTTGCGACGGTTCATTTGTGGTATACGCGACGGTTACAACCGTCGCTAAATACATTTTTGCAATTAGGGGCAGTTGTAACCATCGCGTATACCAAAAATGAACCGCCGCTAAATGCCTGTTTTTTTGTAGTGTCAACCAGTCAAGGAAAGATTTTTTAGAGTTATACATGCATATTGCCGAAACAGAGGATGTTGCTATACCCGTGAGGTCAGTTGATTTAAATTTTGCACATAATGCATCATCATCTGCTGCTCCAATTGGTAATCTGTTTGAGGAAGGAGAAAATGATCCTACCTGGGTTATGGAAGATGATGGTGAGGATGACGATGATGAAAATATTGCAATGGAAGATCAACTTCTTGCTGAGGATGCTAGCGCTTCAGACAACGATGATGAATGTGGTATTCCTGAAACTCAAATCTTAGAATATAATGTTGTGGGGGAGTCTCATGTCCAGGAACATGATAATGTGCGAGAACAGCAGATCCCCAACTGTATTGTCCAATGTCATCAAAACCTCCTGCAAGCAACGCAATGTAGCGAAATCCGACGACGCTACCTCCAGATTTGTCGCATAGAAGCCATGATCCCAACATACGCGCAATGTGTGCCTTAGTAAAAAATATAACTTGTTGTGGATCCGCAGCAACTGCAGCCTAATGCGCATATTGTCTGTCTAAATATGCGAGCTTGACATCCCCGTACGGCTGCTCTGAAACGAGCGGGGCGTGACTAAGCACCTATCCTCACAGGATTCGCCAGTTGGTGGATGTAGCACCCGTAACCACTTTCCCATCAGTCCGCAATCCCAATATAGTCGCAACATCCTGCAACATAATGGTCATCTCGCCCTGCGTCATGTGGAACATATGTGTCTCTGGTCTCCACATCTCCACCAGAGCATTGATCAGCATGGGATCAATCTGAAATAAATGCAGACATTTATTATCAAAATAAACTTGCTTAAGCATACACTTAGTTTATAACATTTATTATTAAATTAAAACTCACATGACCGGTACTTTCTTATATGTGTACCTGAATATGCCGCATATGGGCGACATGTAGGAAGCCGGCCTGCTGCAGGTAGTCTGCCACGACATCAGGAATAGCATCAGGAGATGGACCCCCCTTGACAACACCGCGTCGAGTCTTGCACTGGCGACACTTCTCCTCGTTCCAAACAACCTGTGAAACGTGTGTGCGCTGTGTGCGCCTCCTAAGTATGTCCCACATGTATGGTCCTGGAAGCACATGGGTCCTGGGATCTGAAGGCTCGGCCTGAGTCTCAGTATCGGATGTAGACCGAGGTGCCTCCGACGATGACGAGTCAGCCATAATAGTGTACTATACACAATAATAAATTAATTGGTTTCATTAATATATTCAAAATTCATTACATTGATTACATGTGTTACAAACATTAACTAATTACATGTGTTACAAAAAATATTATTTTACATGTGTTAAAAAAAATTAATTACTTGTGTTACAAAAAATATTAAATTACATTTGTTACAAAAAAATGGCAATTTACATGTGTTAACAAAAATATTAAATTACATTACCTACAAAAAAGATTTCATTAAATGTGTACAATATTCCTATGTCACTAATATATTCCACAGTCACTATTGTATTCCACAGTCACTATTATATTTCTAAGTCACTATTATATTCCTAGGGTTTAAGACACTACTTTAACATATTCCTAGATCACTATAATAACAGTTATATGCGCAACACCCTAAATTACTATTATAACATGTATCATATTATAAATAACAATTTGATAAAACAAATATGAAGACTTACTTGTTCGACAGGGCTTCGTCGCGCAAAATGCTCCACAAATAATCTAGAGAGAAGGCAGAGCAACTTTAGAGAGAAGTTAGAGAAAAGGTGTGAGATGGAAAAGTGGAAATTTTGGGGTTTTTATAGGCCAAGAAATTCACTCCTGGATTGGGCGTGATTTGTCACGCCTCCTTTGGGCGTGAATTCTCAGCAATTCCCGCCTCACTTGGGCGTGAATTCTCCCGCCCATTTTGGGCGTGAATGACTGCAATAGATCCGAAATTAGTTTCCATACTGCAACCTATTCGTAATTAATTATTAAAAGTGTAATATTTTAATTTTTTTGCCACCGTAAGTGTGGGAAAATAAAAAAATTAGGCTACAATATACACCATGTACAGATCACCTGATATGCTCTTATAATGAAAAATAATATATAATCTGCATTAAGTTATAGTAGACATGGCATACAAATAGGGATGTGCATGGGTCGAACCAAACCGAATTTTTTGAAAAACCGAACTGAAATTGGTTTAAATGGTTTGGTTCGAAAATGGTTTGGTTCGGATCAAAACTGGTTTTGTTCAGAAGTGGTTCGGTTCAGTTGGAAACGGTTCGGTTCGGTTTGAAACCGGTTTGGTTCGACCCTATTTTGAAAAGAAAAAAAAATTAAAAATTAAAAAATAAAGTTATAAAAATCAATTTGGTTCGGTTTGAAAACGGTTCGGTTCGGAAATGGTTCAATTCTTAAACTGGTTCTAAAAACCGGTTCGGTTCATGAACTGGTTTTTTAAAAACCGATTATTTTAAATGACGGTTCGGTTCGGTTCATGGTTCGATTCAGTTTTTTGATTATTTTGCACACCCCTACATACAAAGGGGCTAAAAAATAAAGTTTTGGAGCATTAACAGAGCAATAAAATCCAAAATGCTAACAATCTGTTACAAGCAGTGAGTTTCTCATGTCTTGTGAAGTCATTTTCCCATTATTGCTCTACTAAAAACTTCAAAGAGATTATCATTGACGTTGCTTTTTTCCTTGATACATACATGAGTGTGTAACTGGGCATTTGGTCTAGTGGTATGATTCTCGCTTTGGTGCGAGAGGTCCGGAGTTCGATTCTCCGAATGCCCCAATATATATACTTAAATTTTTAATACACGATGTAACATTACATATAAAAAATGGTAACTTGTAATTGTTTAAACAGTAAGGTCATGCTAGCAAAATAAACCAACTGCATCCAATCAAAAAACAAACTACCTCACTTGTACTCCATTCTGGAAGAGTGATAAAAATTGAAGGTAACTCCTGGACCTACAGAAAGCACACGGCACAAGGCCTGAGGTAGCATCTGTGTCTGATTGTCAATCTCATAAACAAGAGCTTATGAAAGTAGCCAGAAGAGCTTCACATGGTCCAAGAACTATATTTAAATTCATGCCAAAACACAAGCTTGTGTAATTAAATTTAAATAATAAAGCATCCGTGACATGGAACTCTATCCAAGAAATGAGTAGGACACAAGCTATAGAACCTCATCAAGTCTCCATAGAACCTCATTAAGTCTCCGAAAAATTGCAAGCACAAAGTGGGTTCTTCCTCCCCATTGCATCAAAGGAAACGCTCCACTCGGAACAAGGCCTGAAATTCCACAACTTGTGTATTGTAAGGTATTGCATAAGATAAACAACAGCTTGGTTCAGCAACATGAGTTGGGCTAGTTGCAGCATCACTGTCTCATGCATTTGCTCTGCTGTCACATTTGGTGTCAGTAAAGAACTAATTTAACCCAAAAGCTTAAGTTGTTAAGTGAAGGCACATCAATGATTTATATACTTCTCTAACACGTCAATGATTTGTTAAGTTGTTAATGGGTATTGCAGGAAACATCTGCACTCTCATTGTCTTCTGGGGTGGGAGTAGCAAATGCCTTGTCTATGAGATTGTATGACTTTTGGTTTGGTTTACACTGTGTATGTCACTGCAGTAGACCCAAAGAAGGGTAACCTTGGGATAATTGCTCCAATTGCAATTGGTTTCACTGTGGATGCTAACATTTTGGCAGCCCGTGCCTTTGATGGAGCATCCAGGAACCCAGCAGTGTCTTTTGGACCCGCTGTAGTTAGCTGGACTTGGGATAATCATTGGGTATACTGGGTCGGCCAATCAATTGGTTCTGCTGTTGTTCACGAGATTTTCTTCATCACCCCAAAAACTTATGAACAGCTCCCCTCTACAGAATAGTAAATTCCCCAGAGTTTATATTGAAAGTGGAGGCGGGTTTCTTCTGCTTCCCATGTGGGTGCTCTTTATTGTTTGCATTACCTTGTTTTCAAATGTTGATTTCCGTTACATTTGTTCTGTTCTACTAAGATCATTTATTGAGTAATGGCTCAATCTTCTAAGCCTGAATTTTAGCCAAATTTCATCTACGCTTAAAATCATTCAATACTTCTAAATCCTTTAAAGAGAAGAAAATTGCCGCATTTACCAAAGAAACAACGTGAATCTATGAACAAGAAGCATTAATTACTATCCGAAAGTCCAAAACATTAACAAGCAACTCGAAATGCAATGTTTCAGAATAAGAGTGAACTGACCCACTTCAAAGAGTCAAACTTATTAACCAATACAAGTTATTGTATACATCAATACATGGGGTAGAAATCTGTACAGAATACTGCACGCATATATTACAAATCACCACCTTGTTTCTTTCAGCTCTTAGATCGTAATCATAATTGCATGCAACAATTCCATTATTTGGCACTATTATCAAGTCAAAGAAAAAAGTTGAGATGCAAATAATTTTCGGAATGAGTTTCCCCAGTGCCGCATACAGAAAGTTATTATCTGAATTTTTAACAAAACACTATCTTAGTGTATTGAACCAAAAATACAAGTTCAATACAATATCAATAACCAAGATTACTACTCCTCATGCAGTTTTCTTCTCATGGTGTTTATAAAGTTTTCTACGCCGCTGCTTGAACAAATGCAGGTAAAGTTTGGACCAGAGGAATGGATAAACTACAAGTACAACCTGATTGAGAGAAATGGAGCATAAATTAAACAAGTAAACAATTCCCAGATGCAGATAAGTGATAGGAACCTGGCGACCTGTAAAAACTAATCACAGAAACAACACCAGCAGAATAGAGAAAAATAACAGGAACTTATCTGTAACAGTACAAATTACAAGAACTGGAAGTGAATTGCAGAAAATAAAACAAGAAGAACGATAGTAGGACAACCCCTTTCTCCCCCCTCAGCCCTTGCTGAACATAATTCACCCAAATCTTGCCTAACTTCTCCCCGAAAGCTACTCCTAATTATATAAACCAACTTTACACAGAATTTTCCTCCCAAAAGCTCCTTTCACACCAACTGTCTCACCTTCCACTTACGCCACAGCCTCTCCCACTAAAGTTCCTCTATTGCTCATCTTATTTTTCTTAATATACACCCTTTTAACAACATTTGTATCAATAAGTTACAAATAGAAAAAACTGAACAAAAAGGCATTTATATACACTCCAAACCAGTTTCCATGTGCTATACGAATCAGTTCCCAACCCTGAATATTGAGACAACTATTTCTAAGCATTTTTTGTCCTCGTTTCTATTTTATTTTTTTCTTCTTGTAGAGAGTCTGATATTCAAAGACCCAATGTATAGAACCAAGAAAACCCATAAATAACTGATGCCAACTACCAGCTCCATTCAGTTCATGGGTTATAGGCTGCTTATAAAAACTTACCTTGAGGAAATCATAATAACTAAATGGAAGGCCTGAAAAGTAATGTGCATAGAGATTCTTCTTCTTTATAATTGGAAGCGCCTGGTACATAACCCACACTGCATTATATTGACTGGTCAGTTACACTAGTTTATAACAACAGTGATGACATTTGGTTAAGAAAGGAACGGGTGAATAGTCAATCGTAACAGTAATATCAATTTCAAATTCATACAGAAACAAAATTCAGAGATAGGAGGGAGATATAGATATATGAACTCACTTTCACCAGGACCCATTCCCAAAGGATACAGCACAATAAATGCAGTGTACCTAATTAAAAGATAAAGCATCAAGCATATACTTGAAAAGACCATTTTATGAATATAATAGAACTTATTAACCTCATATTCCTAAGACTTCAGAGAATGTGGAATAAAAGATAGAAAAATACCTAAGATAGGTGATCCAAGAAGGACAATTTCCCAAGCAACTGAAAGCATAATGTGAATATCTAATAACCTGCATCTCCAAAGATTGCAGCCAAATCATACTTCATACATGCAAAATGGTAATACTGCAACTTTCATCGATTGCAAACACGCATACCATAAGTGTGGTAGAATAAAAATAAGTTATAGAGACCATGAACAGATCTCCTGATATAAAAATAAAAAATAGTATATAATCTACATTAAGTTATAGAGACATGGCATACAAAGGGGCTAAAAAAGAAAGTTTTGGAGCATTAACAGAGCAAACAAATCCAAAATGTTAACAATCTGTTACAAGCAGTGCGTTTCTCATGTCTTGTGAAGTCATTTTCCCATTATTGTTCTACTAAAAACTTCAAAGAGATTATCATTGATGTTCCTTTTTTCCTTGATACATACATGAGTATGTAACTGGGCATTTGGTCTAGTGGTATGATTCTCGCTTTGGGTGCGAGAGGTCCCGAGTTCGATTCTCGGAATGCCCCAATATATATTTTAATTTTTGGTACACAAGTATGTCAGAAAACATATAAAAAATGGTAACTTGTAATTGTTTAAACAGCAAGATCATGCTAGTAAAATAAACCAACTACATCCAATTAAAAAATAAATTACCTCACTTATGCTCCATGCTAGAAAAGTGATACAAATTGAAGGTAACTCCTGGACCTACAGAAAGCACACAGCACAAGGCCTGAGTTAGCATCCGTGTCTGATTGTCAATCACATAAACAAGAGCTTGTGAAAGTAGCCAGAAGAGCTTCACATGGTCCAAGAACTATATTTAAATTCATGCCAAAACACAAGCTCATGTAGTTAAATTTAAATAATATATCATCCGTGACATGGAACTATATCCAAGAAATGAGTAGGACACAAGCTACATTATTTAAATTTATGCCCTGACACAAGAACACAAAAAGTGATCCATAGAACCTCATCAAGTCTCTGAACAATTGCAAGCACAAAGTGGGTTCTTCCTCCCCATTGCATCAAAGGAAGCAACGCTCCACTCGGAACAAGGCCTGAAATTCCACAACTTGTGTATTATAATGTTTAGTTAAATTTAAAGTAAATATATCATATTCTAGTTAAAAGCAAATCAATCATTGACAGTAAAAACCCACCAACAGCTCCATGTATAACTTCCAAGAATGCAGCGCATTGCAGAAAACCTTCAATTAAATAGCGAAGCACACCAATTATACGATTTTGGAAAGAAATCAAATCAAACAACAACTTGGATATCGAAGTATAAGGTATTGCATAAGATAAATAAATAAATAATTTATAAAAGTCATTGTATGGTCACTTACCTTTTTTCCTTTTTCTTTTGTATTTTATTTCATTTGTATTTGTTTATAACTCATTTTTCACAACGTATTAGATTCTTCGTTCGAAATGTGAGATGAAATTTCCGAAAATGCGAGTTTAGGAATATACTGACAAATTAACTGGCCGGCAGAAGCATAAGCTCCGTTGACAGAGGATGTAACCACGAGATTGCAGAGAATCCTAATTAACGAAACCGTCCTGTGACAAGCACACACGCAAAGTAGAGGAATCAGAGAGAGAACAGAACAACTGAAACTGAAACTGAAACAATGAAAAGGAGATGAATGAAGGTACCATCCAATAGCCTGAAGAGAATTGTAAGAGAGTAGATAGAGAGTGGAAATACGAGGCATCGTCGTTTGTGGTTGTGGATATGCTCATCCGTTCTTCGCCTCCGCTAACCACTGACCGTAATCGCTAACTACTTACTGCCCGTATGGTTAGTACTGAACTACTGAAAATAAGGAATTTGTATTTCTCGTGACTTTCTACGATGATTCTTGACGATAAATATTTTTTAAGTAACTTTTTGTAAACAAAAACAATTACTTATGATATAATGGCAAAAAAAATAAAAAATTATAGCTTAAATAAAAAATAATTTAAAGCAATTTGTAAAGTATTTATAAAAGAGGTTATAAAAAAAAAAAAAGTATTTATAAAAGAGAAAAACTACTCTTATGTTACATATAATAAATTTCTCTCCTACGCACCCTTCGATAACTGTGCCACTTTTTTCTTTTTTGTTTTTTTTTCAGGTAGTGGAGCTCACAAGTTTATCTGTGACATGAAATTATTTATCTCCTTTAACATGAGATTAATAAAATTCTTTATAAAATTAATGTAATTAGGTGTGCAATATTTTGCACACAAATGGCGACGTGAAAAGCTTAGGTGAATTGCTTCTAAACTAATGCGTATCTAGTTGTGTATCAATTTGGACGCAGCTTAGCAAACTTGTCAGGTGACATGCTTAGGGTTTTATAAGAGTTATGTTGTAGGAAAAGAGATTGTGTTATGTTATAGAGATTCGTTTTGCGTGCCGGAGTTTTTTGTTTTTTTTTTGCTGCGGGTCGCACAAAATGTTGTGGGTGTAGGAAAATTTTTGTGATCATGTTAAATGATAGATGATAAACCCTAAAGCTTATCATCCTTGTAATATAAAGGTACCCTTAATACAACGTGGCAAATTTTAGTGAGTTACGTCTAAATTAATGCTTAACTAATTACGTGTCAGTTTGAGTACAATTCACCGTAACTTGCTATGTGGTCACTTACGTCTAAATTGATAGTAACTGATTGTATTAGTTTCATGAATACTTTACAAATTGTTTTAAATTTGTATTTTTTTATTTAAATTGTAATTTTTAAATTTTTCTCCCATGATATAATTGATTTTTAAAATTTTGAAAATACTATTATTATTGAAATGAAAATTTAGAGAAATAGGAAGCTATCTCGTTGTTAGATCATGATATGCCATAATTCTCAACAATGATATATAATGGCATTTATCCACTGTTTATGAAGGAAGGATCAACATCGGAGTTCAAGCCCCAAAACCTTTTATTAACTTGGTTGGTGCTACTGGTTAAATAAGGCTAACAATGTTAGTTCCAGTATTTGAGGATTCTCCTTCTATACTAATGTTAGGTTTGATTATATTCGACTGGTCCATTGGGTTTGTTTGGGCTTTCCTATTGGCTGGGCTGTTTGGCAAGCCCAATCCTTTGACTCATCAAAAGACAAATGACTTTTTATGGGTTTTATAATTCTCATTCAACATGAGAATTAAAATTTTCCTACACACCTTTTGATTCTCGTGCTGACATGGGCTCTACATATAATCTTTTCTAACACGTGGATCTCACATACATTTTATCTCTATAACATAATATTTCAATTCTCATTCAACATTAGAATTATAATTCCCTTTCTTTATACCTCATATCCTTCTTTATACCTCACATATTAACGGGGTCCATTAGTTTAAAAATGATTATGACATGACAACTCACTTCTTATGTTCTCACTCCTCACTTATTATAAATACTTTCACTTATCCGGTGGAGGATTCAGAATTTTTTATGATGGGAGACGAAAATAAAATTTTAAAATAATAAATGTTATTAAAAATAATAGGATAAACTAATATTGCAAATATTATTTTGAAAGTGGTTAACTATTAACACTAATAGTCTATTATTATTAAATAATTATCATTTTATACTTATAATACTAAAAAAATCAAAATTTAAGGAATGCAACTGCCAATACTCGTACAGTCCACCCCTTCACTTATCCTATAAGAGATTATCTTCTTAACCATTGATTACCTTGTTTTTATTGTGCTGAAATCATTCCTCACCAGCCATAACCGAATCCTTCGCCTCCCCTTGATTGTTAACTTGCCCAAGACAAGGGATATGTAAAATAACCAAAAAATTAAACTGAACCATGAACTGAACCGAACCGCCCTTAAAATAATCGATTTTTAAAAATCAGTTCATGAACCGAACTGATTTTTAAAGAATCAGTTCATGAACCGAACCGATTTTTAAAACCAGTTTAAGAACCGAACCGTTTCCGAACCGAACCGTTTTCAAACCGAACCAAATTGATTTTTATAACTTCATTTTTTAAAATTTTTTATTTTCAAAATAGGATCGAACCGAACCGGTTCAGAACCGATACAAACCTTTTTCAACCGAACCAAATCACTTTTAAACCGAACTACTTTTGAACCGAACCGAAGCATTTAAATTTTAAAAATTCGATTCGATCACCCATGCACATCTCTGCCCAAGACCTCCAAAGTGACTTCCATTGAACTATAGCTCATACTATTATCATATATAGTTCACCTTTCAAGGCAAAAATCACCCTTGATTTGTGTGGTAGTCCCTTCTATTGTTGCATTAACATAGGATATCCCCAATTATGTTCGCCATGTACAATCAACAACCTCTCAATATTACTTATGTGATGAAGCGTGTTATTATTAGACTGAAAAAAAAATACAACCTATACTATAATAAAGGTGTAACAGTACTTATAATAAAGTAGAACCATAAATTGATTAATGCGCGATGTTGACTTCTGCTTAATATGTATGTGGTGCATCTTAAATGATTCTGATTGGAAAGCTGTATAGATTATTAAAGCATTAGCTAGTGGCTGCTAATATAAAATTAAAGCGCCATATTGATACATATCCGAATCACATAAAACTTGAACAAGTGCAATTGATATTTTACATTCAAAACATACCACCTCCCTTTTGGACGTTTCTTGAAACTAAAAGCACACAAAACATTGACACAACTATAGTTACGTTCGACATCGATTACAGCTGTTTCACACTATTGGAGAACCATGCTGAAAGCTTATGCTACACAGGTTAGGCTTTCTGATGACAGTGGCACACGAATATGAACAAAATATTGATAATTGAAAAAAGAATCCTGATTAATTAACCTGTTAGAGTTGCGGTGCCTTGTTGATAGCATGAAAAATATTGGTCACATATAATAGGGAATAACATCTTTCTTTCTTCTTCATCCATCACCCATAGCGGGTCTGAAGAATAATCTAGTGATGGAGAATGAATTGGAGGACAAGAGAATTTGCAACACTCCTCACTCTGCCCATCATAGACTTGTTGCATATTAATGTTCTCTTCTGACATAGCAATATCATTCCATATATCATCCATAGAGTAACCCTGTTCAGCATCTTGGTCTTCTCCTACATAAATTCCAATTGAGCCAATCATATTATGTCGTCCACCTGTGTCATAAAAGCTTTCTTGTCCACCCTTTTTGGAAGCATGTGAATCCACAGCATGATTGTTTGAGGTTAAAGAGGATTGACAACTAGAAGATGTTGGTGATTGAACTGGTGCATGTTTTTTCTCCTGTGCCTTTTTCTTCCTCAAGTGAGTCCTCCAGTAATTCTTAATCTCATTATCAGTGCGCCCTGGTAGTTTGCGAGCAATTCTTGACCATCTGCACATGATCATAGTATATATGAGTAATTAGCAATGAAATTCAAAGGAAGTATGCTTTATGATTAACTTGAAGAAAGAAAGAATGTTAAAAAAAAAAGGGTGGAAGTTATGAGACAGCAGCTGAATTTCTGCATATACTCAAACCTATTTCCCCATTTGGAGTGAAGCTCAATGACAAGGTGTTCTTCTTGGGGTGTCAGCTTCCCTCGTTTGAGATCAGGATGGAGGTAATTAACCCACCGTAACCTGCAACTCTTACCTGTTCTATTCAAACCTACAACAAAGTTAGGTGGTTAAAGGATGCGCTTGTTTCATGGTTCATGCCCATATAAGCATACCTATTATTCACTGTCTCCCGCCACCTTCAAACCTGAAACCTTAGCTATAAATTCCCATCTACGGTCTCCAAACATGCCAACAAAATACACCAATTTGAAGTCCTCCTGTTCTGTCCAGGGACCTCTTCGGATTTCCTGTTGAACCATTTTCTTTTTCTTTCTTTCTTTTTGTTTTTTTGTGAGACACACCCTCTGGAGTATTGTTATCTTGGTCTTGGAAGAGAACTTTCTTCCGCTTGATATTCTTACGGGAACCTATGCAAGCAGTAGTGCTATTTATATGTGTTTTGTCACACCTCACAATATGAGTTTTTGTTTTTATAATAAAAGTGTAGATGGGATTAGATGGCGGATCAAAATGTCATCTTTTGCCAAATTTTTTATTCAAATATCACGTAAATAGTATTTTTTATCAAACTGTCACGTATTATAATTCACTACCACTGGTAGCGAATTTCGTGACTAATGATTTCGTGACACGTGACTATATTGCAGAACAAATTCGCTATCACCGGTAGCGAATTATGACATGTCAGCTTTTTCTTGCGAAAGTGTGCCACGTGTTAAAAAATTATTGGCGAACATAATTTGCTACCAGTACTAACGAATTATACTTACGTGGTGGCAGTATGATAAAAGCACGATATTTGAGTAAATTTTTTGTCAAAAGATGACATTTTAATCACTGTTCTTTAGATGGCCGGTATATTAGTAGTGTCGTCGCAAATTCTTTAACCTCTTTGAGAATTTTGACTGCTCCGGGTGGATGGAGAATCTCTAACCGAAGAGATGAAAGAGATGGGGTAACAAATCAGTGTGCATAATAACATTAACATATGTTGGATATATATAAAGGATTCACTTTTTCTGCAGTTAATGCAGATAAGTTATCTGCAGTAAGTCCAATACGACGTTGTTTTGAGGGAGAAATTATGGTATCTTTGTAATTTTAATTTATTTCAGAGTTATAATAGTCTTTATATTTATAATTTTTTAAGATTTCAATAAATGCAGATAATTTTCTGCAGTAACTGCAGAAGTATTTTTTCCTATATACAATAGCATCACTAAAAAAATATGGAGTCCAAAGTATGTGGTTAAGAGATTTAACTCTTTATTTATAAAAATATTACATTAATTCCTATGACATAAGATAGATATTTTGAGCATATTTGATTGTGTTTCAGATTTTTTTCGTTTTTAAAATTATTTTGTAAAATAGTTATGGAAATATATATTTTTTATTTTAAAAATTAAAAAACTAAAATAGAAAACAAAAACAATATTTCTAAATTTAATTTTAAAAACAAAAAAAAACACTTATAATTTTTAAATTTTTTTAACAAAACAGATCCTACCAAACAAATTTTTTTATTTTAAAAACCAAAAAATTAAATTTTAAAAACAGTAAACAAACATTGCCCTTATCTCTTATGGGTTTTATAAGAGTTATGTTGTAGGAAAAAGTGATTGTGTAATGTTATAGAGATTCGTTTTGCGTGCCTTAATTTTTTTTATTATTTTGCTTTAAAAAGTATGAGCCTCACAAAATATTATGTGTGTAAGAAACTTATTTGTGTTATGTGACATGATAGATACAAATCTCATCCCTTATTTCTTTAACTTTGTCACTTATTTTGAGCCGTTGCTTCTAAAAGCTATTGGGACACATCATGGGTCATCGCCAATGAAATTCTGACATAGATTAGTTGAATTCCACCTCCCACTCTCTTAAATCGGGGATACGACCTTGATTGTCTGCATTTTTATTTGATTAAAGTATTTTTTTAATCCTTAATAAATATTATATGATCCAATTTAATTTTAAAAAAGAATCGACTTATAATTTTTTGAAATTCAAAATAGATTTATTTTAATTTTTTTTTTTAGAAACTAACATGAATCTTCTTTAAATTTCAGACGGATCACAATTTTAATTAATTAATTTTTTTTTGAATTTTAGAAGAATCACAAATTAATTATTATTTTTTTTCCAAAAATTAAAATGGAAGGCTTTATAATTTTTGTTAAAGATTGAAAAGATATTTTACTTTTTTTTTTATAAGCAAGCTTGCATATCTACCGTTCAAGTGGCGTGCTCATTCATCATTTGCTGTGGGCAATTCAGGATGATGACGTCATCTATTACGAAGGAAATAATAAGAGGAATACATCAATCTGTCAATGTAACTTTCAGGGTGACTTTTCCTTTTTTCAGCCACCGAATTGTTTGATGAAAGTAAATTAATACTTTTTCGAAATTTACTATCAATTTAGCAGACAGGTTTTCTGTTATATTTTTTTTTGGACTTAGATCATATTATTTGATCACAATTATTTATTAATCATAATATAAAAAAGAATATGAGTTTAAAATAAATAATTATAATCAAATAAATAATCGCGTGATGACTTTTTTAATATAAGAAGAACTAAATCTATTCTTTTCCCCCGTTTTTGGGCCTCAGAGAGATTTGTGTGGTTAATCAATGATGTCTACAATACAACTGGCAGATGTTTTTGCTTTTAGGTGAGTGTCACAATGTTAAAAACAAAATGTACGATTAACTTTATTAGCAAAATCTTTTTTTTTAATATATCTTAATTATCTCATTGAGGTAAATAGACTCTTCTTGATATTTGTATAAGCTTCAATACTTTAAGTGGGCTATAAAATTAATTCGGAATACGAAATGAATTAGAGATAAAGATTTTAATCTTCTTTTAAATGTGACTGTAGATATCGTATTAGCAAAATTTTGATATAACAAACGAGTATGAAAGTAGCAAGCTATTTCTAGCACTCCATGGTTTAAATAAAAGATGTTTTGCAAGGGTACTTATTTGTTTCGACTTAAATTCAAAAGAATTTTCAAGCAATGTGAAATACATGGAACCTTAATCCCTTAAAAACATTTTTAATATATCAAATCATGTCCAAAAACAAAAACAAAAAAGACATTTTAAAAATATTTACAGACTTCAATTATGTTATTCAAAAATAATCAATTAGTGAAATGCAATTAATTATAATCAATTATTTCATTCTGTAGTGTAAACCCTAAAGTCAAGAAATAATTGATTATTCATCATTTCTGCCCTCAATAATAGATTATTGAAAATCTAATCGTTGATTATCTCAAGATAGTCCAATATTAAGAGATTCATACGATACTTACAATGGCAAGGCTAGTTTTGAATGAAACTCTCCCTAGCTATATATATTTCTTCCAAAATATATATATATATACAAGTTTTGGTATATTCATAAGGGAACGTTATATTTACAAATTTTTTATTTATAAACTCTTACAAACTATACTATGTCAGACTGGTAATACAGTTTTGAGTAGAGTATTATCGATCAGACATAATGTAATTTGTAAATTTATAAAAAAAATAGTTTGTAAACAGATCATTATCCATATTTATATTATGATTGTTGAACATCTTGAGCAAACAATCATTAATTATAAGCATTTATTTTATACATTAAACTTATCATTCAATTATCCTTTATTACTTTGAACTTTACTCGTGAATATATCTTATCTGCCCATTGGACAATAAGTTGCATAGTATAATATGCTCTGATGAGAGTTTTATTTTATTACTTCACTGTATCCTTATAAAGAGGGTGAGGTATTCATCAAGTGAGAAGAAGGGCAAGTGAGAAGAAGGGTGAGGAATCCCAGGCTTTGTTTGGGAGTTTGGAGGGGAAGGGGAAGAAGAAGATCCAAGAAGGAGGGAGGGGAAGGAAATTGAAGAGTTTTCCCTTCCCTTGTTTGGGAGTTAAAAAAATGAGAAATGAGAAAAATTGAGGGTTAATGAGGTATTTTTACCATTTTATCCTTTTTTTAAAATTAATATAATCATTATATTTTACAAATTAAATTAAATTTAAAATTTCTAACAAAATTATTTATCTACTTTTCACAACACAAAAAAAGATCATATTTTCGATGAAATTTTACGTTGCAAACGATGAAATTTTCATCACAAATTTATTTTTTTCATCGGAATACTTTTCGTCGAAAAGCGATGGAATTTTTCAACCGATAAAAATTTTTACAAAAATAAATTTTCTATCGAAATTTTCGACAAAATTTAGTTTCCATCAAAAGTTTTGACGAAAATAATTTTCTCCATCAAATTTTTTAAACGAAAAAAGAATTCTGTCAAAAATTTTGACGGAACGTGTTCCGTTCAAAATTTCGATGGATATGTGTTCTCACGAAATTATTGACAAAAATTGTTTTGTTAGAAATTTTGAGAGAAATGTTTCATTCAAAACTTTCGACGAAATTTAGATTATGTAAAGAATTTTGACAGAATATTTTTTCCGTCAAAATTTTTTGTCGAAATATTTTTCGTCAAAAATTTTTACAGAATTATTTTCTGTCAAAAGTTTTTGACAGAAATGCATTCCGTTAAAAATTTTGATGGAAATATTTTTTATCAAAAAAACTTGACGAAAATATTTTTCGATGAAAATGTGTTCCCTTAAAAATTTCGACATAATTTTTTTTTGCCAAAAAGTTTAACGAAAATGTTTCCATCGAAAACTTTCGGCGAAATTTAAATTCTGTTAAGAATTGTGATAAAAAAAAATTAGAAATGTTTCGTTGAAAATTTTGAGGAAAATATTTTTCGTCAACAATTTTGATGATTATTTTTTTTTTGTTAAATATTTTGCAAAATTTAGATTTCGTAAATAATTTTGACAAAAAAAAAATTTCGTCAAAATTTTTTACAAAAAATATTTTTCGTCAAAATTTTGACGGAAATATTTTCCGTAAAAAAATTTGACGTTATTGTTTTACGTCGAAACTTTTCGATGAAAATGTGTTTCGTCAAAATTTTGGACGGAAATATTTTCGTTAAAAGTTTCAACGGAATTTAGATTCTATCAATAATTTTCCCGTACAAAATTTATGTTAGTGGTTATGACAAAATCTGGTTCAGTCTCTAATTTCGCCTTTAGTTTTGACGGAAATTTTTTGACGTATATGATTTTCATCAAAAATTTCATCACTATTTTTGACGAAATATTTTTTGTCAATAAATTATGTTGGTATTTGAGACTTTTCTAATAATATCGCATTAAAAATGATTCACAATTATGTAGTTTTAACATTTTAATGCTAAGGGTAGATAAGTAATTTTTAATATTTTCCCCCCTCAAACCCTCTAAATTGGGGAACTTTAATTTTAAGAAGAATGAGGGTTTGGTAAAATATTCGAAATTCTCCTCCTCCTTTTTTTAAATTCACAAACAAGAGAAGGACTTGCTAAAACCTTCCATTTCCTTTCCTTTTCTTCCTAAAACAATCTCCCAGACAAAGCGTTATAGAATCTCAAATAAGAAGTTTGAGACATAAAAGTGTGAGTTATAATAGCCCATCTTAATTAATTAGTAAATCAAGTGT